TTTAATATTTTATAAAGAAATTAACAATTATTTTTAATTTCGCAGGCAAATTTGCCTGCTAGACAATCTAAGGAATAGTAAAGAATTTTCAGATCTTTTTTACTCAAATATAAAAAAAAAAAAAATATATTAAAAAACTGCATATTGATAAACTAGTTTTTAAAAAAATATTATATCTTTTTTATTATTTTAAATGGATTGATATCAAAGCTTATAAAATATAAAAAATAACTTTTGATTTTATCATCTCATAATATAACGAATGTCTATTATGCTATAGAAAGATAGATCTTTATTTTATTTCAAAGCATAATGAATATTCATTATATCATGAAGTGATAAAATCAAATGCCGATCTTTTTTATATTATATAACATTTAATATCAATCGATTTAAAGTAATAAAAAAGATGCTGTTATCTCACAATACTAACAACTGAAAATTAGTATTAACGTAAGATTAACAAAGGATTTAGCTTTATAAGTTATAATACAAGATTTATGAAGAGCTTCTGAAGGTTTATATAATTAATGTATATTTCAAATAACAAAGTATAATTTATGGGTTAAGTAATTTAGAGTTTTGTTAAATTAAAAGAATTATTACAAGTTTATTTGTTAGCATGCAAGTGTATTTAGTAATTATCTTATTGCTGATAAAACTAAGTAAATTCTCTAGGTCATGATTATGTTTCCCCCTTTAATAAAGTTCTAAAGCTACTCTTTTTATAAGAAACTTGATAATATAAATAAATAAATAATAAATAATAAAAATATAAATAAAAATAAGAAATATAATAATTGGTCTTCATCATATACCTGATATATATTATATATACAGTCAAACCTTGATATAGCAAACCCTTAATATAGCGAATTTTTAAATTAAATATATTAAATATATCTCATTATAGTGAATCAGCCAATTAAAAATTCGTTATAAGCTTATAATGAAATTGAGATTCAGATTCTAGAATTTATTATATCAAGAATTCACTATATGACAGATTTTAAGAATCTGCCAGTTTTAGTTAATTGGATGGATTTTAAGGATCTGCCAATTTTAGTTGATTAGATAGATTTTGTGATAAAGTAAAAATCATATGATTTATAAGGTAATATCATTTTAAAAACTAATTTATCGATATACAGTTTTTTTATTAATATATCATTCATTCTTTTTTTTACATTTGGTAAAAAAAAATCTAAAAGATCTTTACTATAGTAAAATTTAGATAAAAGTTAAAGTTTAAAATATTATTAATTAATATATGAATATTAAAATATATTTTTATTAATTCTAAAGCAATTTTAAAGTCTACTAATATTTTTCTTCTATTACTTTATTTTTATATTTATTTTCTTCCTCTTCTTTATTTCATTATCTAATATTTCATCATCTAATAAATTATTATTAATATTATTATCTCTTTCTAATCTTTTTATATAGGAGCTTACATTAAAGATAACATCCTTTTATAGAATTTAAAACAATAATTATACTTATTATTTTGTTTTGCAAAACATTTGTGATAAAAAGCATGTTTACATATCAACATTATATTTTCTTTTTTATTTAAATATTTAAATTATTAATTATATTCATTTTAGTATATATTAGCTTTTATAGCTAAATTAAACAATATTTGGCATATAAAATCTAAGTGAAAATTTATGTGCACAAGTTTATAAATTATTTATAAAATAAGAAATTAATAACAATTTTTTACCTTTTTTTGTATATAATTTATCTATTTTTAGTAATAATTTATACACATTTTATGTTATATAATATAAAAGGTTTGCTAGGAAAATGGTACTTTGAGCATTTTTTATTAAAATTTTAATTTTTATTGCATTTTAATCAAACATTATCAAAATTTAAAATGCAATAAAAATTAAAATTTTAATAAAATATGCTCAGAGCTCCATTTTCCTAGCAAACCTTTCATATATGTATACAAAAAATTAATGTACATATGTGCACATTATGCACATAAATTTTACACACTAATGTTTAAATAATTTTTATTATAATCTTTAACTTTGGATAGACTATTATTAATATTTATTTACTAATAACTATTATAAAAATAATATTAGAAACTAATAATTTTATTTTATACAAGTAAAAAAAATTAGATTTTCTTTTTTGATAAATTATATGCTGATCAATTTTGTACCAATCAAAATCAATTTTGATGTGATATTTCAAAAAATATTTCAACCAATAAAATCGCAAATATTAAATATTTATTATGCTATAGCACTGTTCATTTCTAGATTGAATTGCTTAGATCAGCAAAATCAATAACCAATAAAATTGTAGCTATAATTGAGTACAATTTTTTAATCAGATCGATTGATTTCATTTTGATAATTTTAATATAAGTCACAAAGAATGAACATATTATGCGTTATGGTTACAGCTTTTAAGAGCTGAATTTGAAGATGAAGCTTCTTCAAGTGAAGAAGAAGATAATATAATTTTACAAACTGTTTTAATACAAAGGTCAAACACAAGATATTTAAATTCTGAATATACTATGTAGCTAAATCAAAGACTGGTGGCAAAATATTCTTCCACTTTATGATCCTATTCAATTCAAAAAACTTTTGTGAATATTTTCACATTATTTTCAACAATTAGCTGATCTTATATACCCTTATCCTGTATTTTTATCTCAAAGAAATAAACCTCAAATTTGTGTTGAACTTCAATTAGCTGTATTTCTTTGTCGACTTAGTTCTACTAGAAGTTTATTTGCAGTTAGTTCACAATTTGAAATAGGAGAAGGAACAGTAATTCTTTATATTAAACGAGTTATTCAAGCAATTGTGATACAAAAAGAAACTTTTGTCAAGTGGTCTACTTTGGAAGAATGTAAAAAAGTTCATAAAGGGTTTGAAGATTTAGGAGGGTTAAAAAATATAATTAAAGCAGTTGATAGAACACATATTCTTATGAAAATGTTCCAAACAAAGATCCAAAAGTTTATTTTACTTGAAAAAAACGTTATGCTATTCATTGTCAAGGTATTTTAAATGATAGAGGGATTTTGATGTAGGTTGGCCTGCTTCAGTACATGATGCTCGAGTTTTTAGAAATTCTTCTTTTTATAAAGATTATTCTAATCTTATTAAAGGGAATGATTATCTTTTAAGTGATTCTGCATATCCTATTTCTCTCTTTTTAATTCCACTTTTTAAAGATCCAAATTCTTAAAAACAAAAAGATTTTAACCACTTTCATTCATCTCATCAAGTTGTAGTAGAAAATGCTTTTAGAAGATTAAAAGCAAGATTTAGGGTATTAAGGAATCTTGATATTAAAACAGTTAAAATAGAAGTTTTATTTACATTATGTGTAATAATTTTATATAATTTCTTAGAAATTAATATGGATATTTGGGAAGTTACTTTTAATGATAATATAGATTATGAAAATGATGATATATCAAATTATATAAGAGAAAATGATGATGTATTAAAAAAAGCTGAACAAACTAAAAGAAATTTGAATTTTTATCAACATTTTTTATAAATATTAAATTTTTAGTAAAAATGTTATAAAATTGGTTAGTTTTAAACAATTGTATATTTTATAATATATAATAAAATTTCAGAAGTTTTAATAACTTTATAATGTTTTTTATAATAATTAAAATCCAATTAACTTTAGTTTAAATTAAAATTATTAAATAAACAATTAGTAAAAAGAATAAATACAAAATCGCAAATTACGCGAGATCTAGTAATTGAATTTCGATGACAATTTTACCATTTGAATCCTCTCATTGTGACAAATCGAATAATATAAACTACATCTTTCTAATACCAATATTGACGGAGATAAAACTACACAAATATTTAACAATTATTGGTAACAGAATATTATCTAGTGATTGGATTTTGATAAATATTATACCATTCGATTTGACTCAGTTAGAGGATTCGAATGGTGGTAAATTTTATCATTCTAGAATCGATATTGGCGGAGTTGTGCTTTAATAAATTTTAAATATATATTTCGGCTAAAATTTTATTAATTTTGGCTGAAATTGCGGAATTGAACCTTAATTTCTGCAATTGTCCACAATATTGTAAATCACAATTATTTCTTAATTGCCTATTTGCAGATCCATCCTTAAGTCTTATCAATGCTTTTAAGTAATCTTCAATGTAAAAAATAATGCAAATTGAATAAATGTTAATGAGAAAATACTGTGACTTAAAAGTCAAAGAATAAATAAAAAAGATTATTAAATTTGATTCTTAATACCGCAATTTTACTTGCTTTTACCTATATCAATTTTTTTTTATTTCTTTTTATACTTAACAAAATAACAAAGATTTTATTTTAAAAAGAAATTCAAATTTTATTATAAATTGTTATTATTATTACTATTATTACTATTATTAAATTGTTATTACAGCTAATTTTATAATTTATGGACCATTAATAATTTTTCAGTCATATTCAGTCGTAATATTTTATAGTAATTTTATTATAAAATATTTTCAGTTGTATTCAGTCACAATTTATTAGTGATTCATAAATTATGAAATTAGCTGTAATATTAATTATTCTGAAGATGATTTAAAATGCATTATCTTTAAATCTAATTCTTTCATTCTAAGCTGAAATTCCATGCGTGATTGCTCTTTATCAAATTTCATTTTTTTGTAATGTTTCAGCTTTAAATTTCTCAATTATTAACTCTTCCTTTTTATAAATCATTTCTGCTTCTCTAGCTTCTTTTTCAACTATTTGCTTCTTTTCAAATTGCTTATTTTCAAAAGTAAGTCATTTTTCCCAAACTGCTTGTTGCATATTACTCATAGAAATCATAGCTTCAGTTAATGAATCTTGATAAGTTAACTTTCTTTTTTTATTAACTTGATCATTTTTTATCTTTATTGGATTTTCTTTAGGTTCTTGTTTTTCTTCAAAACTATTAAACAATTTAACATTATTAGAAAAACCATCTACTAAGAATTGTGGATTGTGGTTTTCACGCATTCCAAATAAAGTGTCAATTCTTTTAAACCATTTCCATTTTACTTGTGCTCCTTTTCCTGTTTTATTTTCCTTTTTCTTTAATATCATTATATTTGGTTACCAGGCCCTATAAGAAATTTAAATAAGGAAATGATATATAATAAGGTTTGTATACGTATTTACTGATTTCGTAGTAAATTACGTATATTTTATAATGATTTATTTTTTTATAATTTT